TTTGTGGGCGAAGGAAAGGATCGGTCAGGGTTGGACGTATGGCCTGAACGAGGATTCGGAGATGAGAAGGAGCCCCCATTTGGTTCCATATCCGAAAGTGGACGAAGCGATCAAGAAAGCCAATCGTGACACAGCCAGTGAAACGGTGAGGACGCTCTTGGTCTACGGATACATGTTGGAACCGCCTACCGGGGAACAGCACGAAGGTAAGATATATATATATATATATTGGATTGGTAAGAGTGGCGTTGGTCGTGTATTGGTTGAAAAGCATTGCTCGTTTCTCGTTTGCCTGCAGCGCTGTTATTGGAGGCCAGCAGGTTACGTCAATTGTCATTTAGAACTTATCGCGTCGAGAAGCATTACGCGGTGAGCAATGGAAAGTGGTACTTCGAGTTCGAGGTTTTGACGGCTGGCCCGATGCGAGTTGGCTGGGCGAAAGCGGATTGCATGCCCGGAAGCATGCTGGGAAGCGACGAGAACACATGGGCTTTCGACGGTTACAACGTGAGTGTCATCCATAGCTTATTACACGTGATTTTTATATACGTCGAGAAATTCGATTATAAAATAAACACCGAGAAACTCGCGAGAAAAATGAAAGGAAAGAAAGAAAGAAAGAAAGAAAGAAAAAAATAAAACGTACGAGGAATTATTATTACTTTGGTTTGGACAGATTTGTGCGCGAGTAATTTTACGCTTACTTTAGGTAAGGTTTGTCACGAATTGAAATTTTTCATTCTTGATCGATCGATATGTGTTGAGTGATGATAAGGATTAATCATAATGATACCAATCGTGAATGTCAGGTAACTAAAGTACACGCCGGTACCCACGAGTCATTTGGTCACAAATATCAAGTGGGCGACATTGTTGGATGTTTCATTGACGTCGCGGACCGAACGATCAGTAAGATTTTCCCAAGAATATATCCAAAATAATTCGATTTGCAGGTCTATCATCTTTTTTTTTTTTTTTTTTTTTTTTCACGTTTTCTACTACTGTTTCTGTCTTTGTCTCTGTCTATGTTCTTTTTTCTCCATGTTGACTTGATTGTTTCTTTTTTCTGCGTTTCCTTGTGTCCAAACATCGAACGAAATTAATGGGGGATTTCGTTCGACGAAGTGTGGCTTGACATTTCTTTTTTTTTTTTTTCGCCGTTTCCCTGTTTCCAAACATCGAACGAAATTAATGGGGGATTTCGTTCGACGAAGTGTGGCTTGACATTTCTTTTTTTTTTTTCTTTTTATCAACCGCGAGGGAATTCGCGAGGAACCGTTATCCGATATGTTATCGATTAAAATTAAAATAAATCGTTTCTTATTGTCCCCTTTCGTCCAAAAATCTCGTAAACGCGCATAACACACGTATACACGTATACTCGCACACGCAAACGCGCGGAACCAGAACGTTAAAAAGAAACGGAACATCAAACGTTGAACGTTCCACGATTTAAACGTACGATTACAATTACGATTAATCGCGTCACGGTTTCCCGATACGAATCAGAAACGAGAGAATTTGAAATTGGTGAAATTTTGTTTTAAAGGAGGAAAAAGTATACTCGGGAACAGCCGAGACATTTGGCAAACAATGGCAGGTTGGAGACGTTGTCGGGGTTTTCCTGGATCTAATCGACAGAACGATTAGTAAGACGGAATCTTTCAAGCGAACGCTTCAGCTGCCATTTCAAGCTATACATACATATTATAATTTGATCCAATAGAGATAGATTACTGGATACATTTCTCTGAAACAGAGTGTATACAGAGTTCGAGAAATTCGAATGAATATTTTTAATTATTCGCTTTTTTTTTTTACTTTATTTTGTTTCGTTCTTTGTATTGATAAGCACGCGAGTAATTTGCACTGGTCCACTGTCGTCGTTTGTTTGATCGGTCGTACCTTGCAAAACGAATCACGTTTATTTTATTTTCGTTCCCTTTCGCGAAACGGCTCAAATGTTCATTATTATCGTCGTCAATTTCATCTTGTCATGTCAATCACCGGCAATGCTTTCATGTACATATATATATATATATATTATTAGATTTTCACTCGTTCCTTAATCAATTCGTGCACTTTCATCATACACAATGCCAATTAGCATTTACATGTGTGTTGTTCTTGTATTTCTTCGTATCCAGTATTCTACTCGGTCAATGTAAATAACAGCGATAATGCTTGTCATATTTCTCATATACGATTCATATTTGCTAACCACTAATAAAAAAAAAACCAAGAGTGAAATTGAAATTTGAAAAGAAATTAACGGCCTTGAGAAGAACGGCTTTTGAAATCGTCATCGTCTCGATTAAAAAAATTCTTCCAAACCAAATCAAAAATGTGAAATGCCCTTCTACCTTTTACAAATCTCGTCATCAAATTTTGTTTATTTATTTTTCCTCGATCGATTCACCCGATAACATCGTCCACTTATTTTTATCTTTTTAACATTTTACGTAAACCCCATCCTCTGTATGCATGTTTAACATTTTCCGTTTTCACAATTTTCACATTTGCTTCGCATAATTGTACATAGTTGCATTTTATCTACCGTTTTAATCTTTGTATGCCGCTAATTAACCGATAATGCTTCTTTAAAATTTATTATTAAAATTGTTAGTCGCAATTATTACTTGTATCTATTCCTACTTTTTAGACCCCTTTAAAACTAATTTTGTCTCGTAATGTTAATAATAATTCCGTCATAAGCGATCTGAAATCCACGAACATCCCCCGTTTAGGCTTTTCTCTAAACGGGGAACTGCTGATGGACGCGTTGGGTGGTGAAACCTCGTTCGCCGACGTGCAGGGCGACTGTTTCGTGCCAGCTTTCACTCTCGGTGTCGGTCAAAAAGCGAAATTAACGTTTGGACAGGACGTGAATACCCTGAAATTCTTCACCACCTGCGGTTTGCAAGAGGGATACGAGCCATTCTGCGTGTAAGTGACGCACGACTCGATCCGTAAATCCTCGACTTGAACGTTACAAAATAATCTTCGATGCCCACAGAAACATGAATCGACCGGTTACGTTCTGGTACACCAAGGATCAACCGATTTTCGAGAACACGGACGACATGGCTGACACGAGGATAGACGTGGCCAGGATTCCAGCGGGTTCCGACACTCCGCCATGTTTGAAGATCTCCCACAACACGTTCGAAACGATGGAGAAGGCCAATTGGGAATTCCTTCGACTGTCGTTGCCAGTTATATGTCAATCGATCTTCATTTCGGAGAGCGAGAAACTGAGAAGATGGCAGGAGATCAAAATGCGCCAGAATAAATTGTTGTCCGAGCAGATGGAGCAAGCTCAACAAGTGCCCTCTGCTCACATAGAGCAGATCATGAAATCTGGTTTCAGTATGAGCGACATCAAAGGTGAGATATTCTGTGATGTGTAAACATTTTTTTTTAATAAATTTCAATTAAAATTCAATTAAATTGAAATTCGTTAAAAGGATTGCAAAGGAACTATTCGGAGGATGCGGTGGAAGCCGACGAAATGATGAAAGAGTCACCGATTCCTATGCAGAGGAACAAACCGGCGAGGCCTCCGAGGAAAGGTTCCCTGTACGGATCGCGGACGGGAAACATGGAGAACGCGATTAGCGAGGCCGACATGAACGGATACGGCGACATGAACGGCGATATCAAAGACGATAAGAAGAAACGTGGGCGTTCGCCGTTCCGGTTAGTATAATTCGATTTCTATAATATTTCTCTTCTCGGGATAAATGGAAATGATATTTATATTTCCTAGCAAACTTAGCAAAGAGATGGAGGATGCCCCGTAAGTTTTCGAATTAAATCTAACCTCGCGTCTTGAAATATATTTTATGTATGTGTCGAAGAATATATATATATGAAAAATATGAAAATCCACGGATATTCTATACGTGACGATGTTCCACAGATTCTTCTCGCGGAAAGCGAAGTCTCCGGATGCGAAATCGAAAACGCCCGAGCCACCGATACGCTCCGACGTCTCTGACAAAAGCACTAAGACACTGTCGATGAACAAAGCAAGTAGCCGGCCTCCCCAAATTCGTATATCAAACGTAAAACTATTTATTTTTATTTGTTTGTTTGTCTGTTCGTCCGTCCAATCTCGTAACACGTAACACGAATCTTTTCGTTTCGAGCGCACGAAATATAAAGAGAAACTTTTTTCCTCCCTCCCCCACAGACGGACTTGAAAGTGGTACCGCCCCAGATCCCAGAACGAAACGCGCCCAAAGCAATGTCCGTTCTGACGGGGAGCGGCGTCGAGGCGATTGGAAACGAGATATTCGATACGGAATGCTTGAAATTGATGAACGAATATTTCTACGGGGTACGAATATTCCCTGGACAGGATCCAACTCACGTTTACGTAGGATGGGTGACCTCGCAGTACCATTTGCACACCAAGGACTTCAATCTCTCTCGAGTGAGGAAGGGTTCCGTGGTTATCACGGACGACTACGATCGTCCGGTGGAGCAGTGAGTTCTCTTTATTATTCTTCCATTGCACTTTCGAAAGAATCTTGGAAAAGATATAACGTAACGTTTGCCATTCGTCGCCAGGGTTGACAGACAAAGTTGCTACATGGTAAGAGCAGACGAGCTTTACAACGAGGTGACGCAAGACGCATCGGGCAAAGGCGCGTCTCAAGGGATGTTCGTCGGATGTTTCGTGGACACGGCGACTGGGTGGGTTTCCTTCACGTGCGAGGGAAAGGAGACCAGTCACAAGTTCAAGATGGAACCTGACACGAAACTATTCCCCGCCATCTTCGTGGAGGCTACCAGTAAAGAGATCCTTCAAATCGAGCTCGGAAGAACTTCTACGACGTTGCCACTGTCCGCCGCGGTGTTGCAGAATTCTGAGCGTCACGTGATACCGCAGTTTCCGCCTAGACTGAAGGTCCAATGTCTGAAGCCTCATCAGTGGGCCAGAGTTCCCAATCAGTCCCTCCAAGTGCACGCGTTAAAGTTGTCCGATATCAGGGGTTGGTCCATGTTATGCGAGGACGCTATATCGATGCTGGCTTTGCACATTCCTGAAGAAGATAGGTGTATCGATATCTTGGAATTGATCGAAATGGACAAGCTACTCAGGTTTGAAATTTTTATAAATGAGAAAAATTTATCGTTCCCTTTGTGTTTCGAGGATCGACTCGATCTGTTCGATCGTTTTTCCAGTTTCCACGCGCATACTCTGACGCTGTACGCGGCTCTGTGCTACCAATCGAATTACAGAGCAGCACACGCTCTGTGTCAGCACGTCGATCAGAAACAATTGTTGTACGCGATTCGAGCGGAATACATGTCTGGACCCCTACGACAAGGATTCTACGACTTGCTGATCGCGTTGCATCTCGAATCACACGCGACTACGATGGAAGTATGCAAGAACGAATACATCATTCCTTTAGGTGAGGCTTAACAAGCTTTTCTTTCAAAGTGAAATGAACGTCTATCGTATCGTAACGAATCTTATCCTTTTCCTTCAGGTCAAGAATTGAAGGAACTGTACGAAAACGAAGAAATGAAACACAGTCTCAGGTATCTGGAGACCGAGTCGGTCCGACCTCAGATGAAAATGACAGACATCAGGTAAATAGAACGAATCGAAAATTAAATGTGAACCCCGTGACTAATAGTCGACATCAAGGGATGATTCTTCCAGCGACCAGGCGATCGAGAACATAAGGAGCCTATACAGCCCGCACTTCCCTCTCGATGTGGTGAGGGATTACGTGATGACCGCTTTGAACGAGGCTGTCGAGATCAATCAAGTTCACAATCGAGATCCAATCGGAGGCAGCAATGAGAATCTTTTCTTGTATGTAATAATTCGCAACGAATACGCGCACGCCTGGCATAATCCTCGCATATTTAGCGTGCTCGTCAGCAGAATAAGAAGGAGAAGATAACGCTTTCAGGATAATTTGCTTAGCTCTGCAGAATCAGAATACGTTGTTCTCGTGTTGTTCTTCCATTCACGATGAATTTTGTTTGTTCCAGACCACTTTTGAAACTTGTAGACAGATTGCTCTTGGTTGGAATGCTCAGGAACGAAGACATCATGAAGCTTCTGATCATGATCCATCCCGAGACTTGGGACCCAACGTTTGAAAAAGGTGAGAGAATCAAATTGTGTGAATTTTCATTTTTTTGAGAGAGTCGAGAGTGAGAAAAAGAGAGAGAAAGAGCAATGTAAAAATCAATTGCAGAGGGAAAGGACGAGCACAAGAAGGGATTGCTTCACATGAAAATGGCCGAGGGAGCTAAGCTGCAGATGTGCTATCTTCTCCATCACCTGAACGACATCCAGCTTCGACATCGCGTCGAGTCCATCATCGCGTTCAGCCACGATTTCGTTGGCGATCTCCAATCCGATCAACTTAGACGTTACATCGAGATCAAACAGTCCGATTTGCCATCGGCGGTGGCAGCCAAGAAGACCAGAGAGTTTAGATGTCCGCCTCGAGAACAGATGAACGCGATCTTAAGTTTCAAGAATATGGAATTCGAGGATGATCCCGAGAATATACCTTGCGGAGAAGAGTTGATAAGCAAGATGAACGAATTCCACAACAATCTCATGTCTTACGTGTCCTTGCACGCTCTTGAGGAAGCAGCGGATGCCTTGGCAGAGTCAATGGAAGAGGTTCAGAAACCTGGCGCCATCAAGAGGTTGTTCAATTTTATCAACGCGGTGAAAGAGTTGGAGGAGGAACCTAAACCTGAACCGGAACCTGAAAGGAAGACTCCAGAAGGTTTGAAGAATTAAATTAACGAATAAATTATTTCTTCTTGTTGCTTTTTCACGTTTTTTCATTATCTCTTACAGAGGTATTCCGCAAAGTTCTCATAAAAACTATCGTCAGCTGGGCTGAGGAATCCCAGATCGAGACTCCAAAGCTGGTTCGAGAAATGTTCAGTTTGCTTGTCCGTCAATACGATACCGTGGGCGAATTAATTCGAGCCTTGGAGAAGACTTACGTGATCAACAGCAAGACGAAAGACGACGTTGCTTTGATGTGGGTCGGTTTGAGCCAGATCCGTGCTCTGTTGCCTGTCCAAATGTCCCAAGAGGAGGAGGAATTGGTCAGAGAACGACTCTGGAAATTAGTGAACAATCACACGTTCTTCCAGCATCCAGATCTGATCAGAGTATTGAGAATTCACGAGAACGTGATGGCGATCATGATGAATACGCTGGGCAGACGTGCACAGGCGCAGTCGGACGCTCAAACACAACCACAGACAACCGAAGGAGAACCAGTTTCCAAAGAGAAGGATACTTCTCATGAAATGGTGGTGGCATGCTGTAGATTTCTATGCTACTTTTGTCGAACATCGAGGCAAAATCAGAAGGCGATGTTCGATCATTTCGACTTCCTCTTAGAGAACAGCAATATTTTACTGTCGAGGCCATCGTTAAGAGGTTCGACGCCATTGGACGTGGCTTATTCCTCTCTTATGGAAAATACGGAGCTTGCTTTAGCACTGAGAGAACATTACCTCGAAAAGATTGCCATCTACTTGTCTCGTTGCGGTTTGCAATCGAATTCGGAATTGGTTGAGAAAGGTTATCCTGATCTAGGTTGGGATCCAGTGGAAGGTGAACGATACTTGGATTTCTTGAGATTCTGCGTTTGGGTTAATGGTGAGTAAAATTTAAAATTTATCTTTTTATCTTAAAATTTAAATTCAAAAAGTTGCACATAAATAATTACAATTTTAGGTGAAAGTGTCGAGGAAAATGCAAACTTAGTGATCCGTCTGCTGATCAGAAGACCAGAATGTTTGGGTCCAGCTCTTCGTGGTGAAGGCGAAGGTTTATTAAGAGCCATTATAGACGCCAACAAGATGTCCGAAAAAATCGCGGATCGACGAAAAGTACACGACGAAGCGGAGGGTTCAACGGTTATGCAATTCGAACATCCACTTCCAGAATCAGATGACGACGAAGACTATATCGACACGGGAGCCGCCATCTTGAATTTCTATTGTACTTTGGTGGATTTGTTAGGCCGCTGCGCTCCAGATTCTTCCGTTATCGAACAAGGTAAGATTCTTCTATTGTCGAAAGTCAAAGTCCCTTTCCCCTGGATTTACGATATCATCTGATACATCCGTAAGTATCACCGACTCGAATATCACACTTATATACACACTACTTTCGCTATTTTGAGTTGACAAACTATTTGCGAGGTTAGTTTCATTTCCAATGTATAGCCATTCTCTTTCATTTCCAATTCATCGCGAGCTCCTCTACCTATTTCGTTACTTTCAAAATTCTTTAAGTCTAATAACACTGTTTATTTTTTTGACGAGCAACAGAGGCTTCTACAGAATCTGTCGGTAATATATACAAAATCATGCTTTTCGTTTCTTTAGTGATCTCGTTTTATGAACGAGATTACATCAGGCAAATTTTTCAGGAAAGAACGAATCTCTTCGAGCGAGAGCTATTCTTCGATCGTTGGTGCCTCTTGATGATCTACAAGGTGTCTTGTCTTTAAGATTCACTTTACTGAATCCAGCAGCAGGTGAAGAGAAACCAAAGAGCGATATGCCATCTGGTTTGATTCCTGGACACAAGCAGAGCATCGTTCTGTTTCTGGAACGCGTTTACGGCATCGAAACTCGGGAACTGTTTTTCAAAATACTCGAGGAAGCTTTCTTGCCTGATCTCAGAGCTGCTACTATGCTGGATAGGGTAAAATAGAATATAAATTTAATTTGAATCAAGAAAAATAGACGAAAATTGTGTTATTCTCGATCTCAATTGTCAATTGTTTTAGAACGATGGATACGAATCAGATATGGCGTTAGCGATGAATCGTTACATCGGGAACAGTATTCTACCATTGTTGATCAAGCATTCCAAGTTCTATAACGAGGCTGACAATTACGCTAGTTTATTGGACGCCACGTTACATACTGTGTACCGATTGAGCAAGAACAGAATGCTGACAAAGGGTCAACGAGAAGCAGTCTCGGATTTCCTCGTGGCATTGACCAGGTAAGCACGATCTTTCTTAGAAACGTAATTGAAATGATTAACGGAATCGTTTTGTTGCTTAACAAGAGAAGTCCACGAGTTAAATGTCTCGTAAGTTCGAACAATATTATTCTAAATTGCTAATTCATGCCTTCGATTATAGTCAGAAAATTTACGCTATGAGGGTAACGATGCTTATAGATTACATTACCCTCGATTCTTCTCTTTTTTTACAATACATTCCTAATTTCTTTCTCCTTTTAGCCAAATGCAGCCCAGTATGCTGTTGAAACTGCTTCGAAAGCTGACCGTGGACGTATCCAAACTATCTGAATATACGACCGTCGCTTTAAGGGTAAATTATTTTTTTATTATTAAAAAAGAAAGAGAAAAGACGAATAAAAATTAAATAAAATTAATTTTACGATAGCTGCTGACCTTGCATTACGATCGTTGTGCAAAATATTACGGTTCAACTGGCGGACAAGGTGCATACGGTGCATCGAGCGATGAAGAGAAACGTTTGACTATGGTTTTGTTCAGCAACATATTCGATTCATTGTCCAAGATGGATTATGATCCAGAATTGTTCGGAAAAGCTCTGCCTTGTCTCACAGCTATCGGTTGCGCGTTACCACCTGACTATTCATTGTCTAAAAATTACGACGACGAGTGGTACGGAAGTAAATCTGCATCTGCACAGTCGCCTGATGGACCATACAATCCTCAACCTATTAATACGTCCAGGTACCACATTTTTTTTAATCAAGAACCATCAAAAAGTTCATAATAATATGGAATTAATATTGATTTATTATTTGACAGTGTGGTGCTGAATAATGATCTTAATCAGATAGTACAGAAATTCTCCGAGCATTATCACGATGCTTGGGCCAGTAGAAAATTAGAAAATGGTTGGACATATGGCGAACAGTGGTCTGATATGAACAAAACTCATCCGAGATTAAAGCCTTATAATATGTTAAACGATTACGAGAGAGAACGATACAAAGAGCCAGTTAGGGAGAGTTTAAAAGCTTTGCTTGCTATAGGATGGAGCGTTGAACACGCAGAAGTGGATGTACCCTCTACGAATCGTAGTTCAATGAGGAGATCATCGAAAAGTCAGGTAAATTAAAATCCTATTCACATTTCTATGAATACAATTATATGTTATACGAATGATTTCAGGGTGATTCAGCGAATCCATTCAATTACAATCCTCATCCAGTTGATATGACCAATTTGACTTTGAGCAGAGAAATGCAAAATATGGCGGAACGTCTCGCGGATAATGCGCATGATATTTGGGCGAAAAAGAAGAAAGAGGAACTTATCACTTGTGGTCTGTGTCAACCAAGAATCGATATAAATTATTTCCTTTGAAATTCAAAAGTAAAATATCTGATTTATAATATTTGTGTTCTTTTTAGGAGGAGGTATTCATCCTCAGCTAGTCCCGTACGATCTTTTGACCGATAAAGAGAAACGAAAAGACCGCGAACGTTCCCAAGAATTCTTAAAATATTTGCAATATCAAGGTTACAAGCTTCACAAACCGAATCGAGGCGGAGAATCGGAAGTTGCGACAGCTGGTGCCTCGGTGGAATTGCGATTTGCATATTCGTTGCTAGAAAAGTTGATAGCCTACCTGGACAAAGCTACCATTAACATGAAATTGTTGAAACCTTCAGATACGTTCAGCCGTAGAAACAGTTTCAAGACGTCCACGAGGGACATTAAATTCTTCAGCAAGGTCGTTCTTCCATTAATGGAAAAATATTTCAGCACGCACAAGAATTACTTCATCGCTGTAGCTACGGCTACCAACAACGTTGGAGCTGCATCTCTGAAGGAGAAAGAGATGGTCGCGGCTCTGTTTTGCAAATTGGCAAGTTTATTGAGATCTAGATTGGCTGCGTTTGGACCAGATGTTAGGATCACTGTCAGATGCCTTCAAGTATTAGTCAAGGGCATAGACGCAAAGAGTTTGGTGAAGAATTGTCCCGAATTCATCAGAACGTCCATGTTGACTTTCTTTAATAACACCGCGGATGATCTAGGACACACGATTCTGAATTTACAAGAGGGCAAGTACAGTCATCTGAGGGGAACGCATTTGAAGACTTCCACGTCTTTATCGTACATCAATAGCGTAGTTCTGCCCGTTTTAACAGCCATGTTCGATCATTTGGCTGCCTGCGAGTATGGTAGCGATTTGTTACGTAAGTATACAATTTTCAAGTAAAATACATCCGAGTTTTTAACACGAATAATATAATTCATTGCTTTATTCTTCTATTAGTGGACGAGATTCAGGTAGCATCCTACAAAATGCTGGCATCTCTTTACACCTTGGGCGTAGATGCGACGTTGACGCACGATAGAAAATATTTAAAGACGGAAATCGAACGTCACAAACCAAATTTAGGCTCCTGCTTAGGTGCTTTCTCCAGTTGTTTCCCCGTAGCCTTTTTGGAACCCCATTTAAACAAACACAATCAATATTCTCTTCTGAATCGTATCGCCGATCACTCGTTGGAAGCACAGGATATTATGACGAAAATGGAGTCGAGCATGCCCACTCTCGAGACGATTTTGACGGAAGTCGATCAATTCGTCGAATCTGAAAAAACTTACAACGAAGTTCCTCACGTGGTCGACGTTATTCTTCCTCTACTTTGCTCTTATCTGCCCTTCTGGTGGGCCCAGGGTCCGGACAACGTAAATCCGACCGAAGGAACGTATGTCAGTATGGTTACCAGCGATCACATGAATCAATTACTGAAAAATGTATTAAAATTGATCAAGAAGAACATCGGCAACGAGAATGCACCTTGGATGACTCGTATCGCGGCTTACACTCAACAGATCATCATCAATTCGTCGGAGGAGTTGTTGAAGGATCCGTTCTTACCGCTTGCTGAACGTGTCAGAAAGCGTACAGATACTATGTTTCACAAGGAAGAATCTCTTCGTGGTTTCATCAAATCGTCGACGGATGACACGTCTCAAGTCGAAGCACAGATTCAAGAAGATTGGCAACTTTTGGTTCGTGACATCTATTCCTTCTATCCTCTTTTGATCAAGTACGTTGACTTGCAAAGGAATCATTGGTTAAGGAATAATATATCAGAAGCGGAAGATCTTTATAATCACGTGGCAGCGATATTTAACATCTGGTCGAAATCTCAGTACTTCTTGAGAGAGGAACAGAACTTTATATCTGCAAACGAGATCGATAATATGGTGCTCATAATGCCTACTGCGACCAGGAGACCTGCCGCCATCTCAGATGGAACTGCACCTTCTGGAGGAGGCAAGGTTTGTATCAATGGTATTTCGATCAAAAGATAAATTTTTAATTAATGATTCGATTAACAGAAAAAGAAGAAACATCGAGACAAGAAGAGGGATAAAGACAAAGAGGTGCAAGCTTCTTTGATGGTAGCATGTTTGAAAAGATTACTCCCAGTTGGTCTCAATTTATTCGCCGGTCGTGAACAAGAATTAGTGCAACACTGCAAGGACAGATTCCTGAAGAAGATGCCGGAATACGAAATCGCTGAATTCGCCAAGACTCAATTGACTTTACCGGACAAGATCGATCCAGCTGACGAGATGTCGTGGCAACACTATCTGTACTCCAAATTGGGTCAAAAGAAGGACTCCATGGAACCAGTGAAAGCGCAACAGCTTGAGGATGTGGTTGCGAGAATCACCGACATGGCCAAAGTCCTTTATGGTTTACACATGGTAAGTGAAGAATCATTTCGAACAAAATAAATCATTGTTTCCTGAAATACTCCGTAATCGTTATTTTTCTAAACAATCAAAGCTTATTTATTCTAAGTAATTTTGTGTTCTCGAGTAGATAGATCATCCGCAACAGCAGAGCAAGGGTCAATATCGATCCGTGGTATCGATACAACGTAAACGAGCAGTAATTGCTTGCTTCCGTCAAACTTCCCTACATTCCTTGCCCAGGTATCCTGTTTTGGTTTCAATCGCGTTATATACGTTTCGTTCCTGGCAATAATAAAATAATCAATCGTTTGATAACTTTGATTAACTTTATGTTCACGTTTTGATTTGAGTTTCGTGTATATTTTCAACTTGTTACCATCAAATTAACCATCAATCTTAAAAATTAACCATCACTAATGGCTCTTGTGATTATTTGTTAGTGATCTAACAACCATAGTTGTGTGTGCATGCTGCTAAAAGGCAACGAAACCTCCACCATCTCGGGATGGATGGAAGCGTGTGTTGTGCGCAGCAAGAAAGAGGGCAGCGATCGCATGTCTGCGTAGCGAGCCACTTTACAAGTTACGAAGGTAAAAAGATTAATGTTATTTCAACTTTTCGATAAACTATTATATATTTTCCTATTTTATTTCAGGCATCGGGCTATAAATATTTTCGCGCGAACATACTACGAGCTCTGGTTGCAGGATGAAAATGTTGGCCAAGAAGTGATGATTGAAGACCTAACGGTAAGGAAAAGAAATATCAAACTCAATATTCTTTCATACAAATATTTTATTTCATATTTTCCGCTTCACTAATCGGTGTATATTTTAAAAATTTTTTTCAAAGCAATCCTTTGAAGACGCGGAATTGAAGAAAATGGACAAGGACGAGGACGAAGGAAAACCAGATCCGCTCACACAACTCGTAACAACGTTCTGTCGTGGCGCTATGACAGAACGATCTGGCGCGCTTCAAGAAGATCCTTTGTACATGAGTTACGCGCAAATTATATCGAAATCTTGCGGTGAAGAGGAAGAAGAAGGTGAAGATGAGGGCGGAGGGGGTGAAGAAGAAGGCGGCGCCTCGATCCACGTAAGTATTTTCTCCGATATCAAAATATCGAGAAAATTTTTTTCTTAAAATACTCTTTGAACTACACATTTTTTTTTAATGGAAAATTTAAAGAAGAGAGACTAACAATATGTTTGAAACTTATTAACAATTTCGTATTTTTTTT